TCCTTCAAATGCGGGGGCAGGCTTGTGGCTGGCCCGGCGCCCCCTCTCCGAGCTCTTGGGAGGGAAGGACCACACCGCTCCATGGCAGGCAGTGCCGGGCGGGCGAGCGAGCGAAGAGCGGGGCGAGGGGGCTCTATCCTCGCAGCCCCCACCCCGAGCCTCTCCTCTACCCGGACCCGCCTTCCCTCCTCCAAGTCCCTCACCTGTTCCTGCTCCCAGCTCCGCCGCTGCGGCCGCCGCCTCCGCCCCCACAGGCTCCGCTCTGCTCTCGTTCCACTCTCTCCGGCTCCCTCAGCCGATTTCAGCGCGGCTGCTCCCCTGGCCTCGCCCCCGGCTCCCTCCTTCCTGCCCTCCACCTAGCACCGGAAGCCGCGACGGCGACAGGAGCTGTGCGGCGCACCCCCACCCCCAGACCGGGATACTTCCCACCTCCCCGATCGCGCGAGAGCTGCTCACCGGCGAGCGGCAGATCTCGCGAGGTTCATCACCATGGCAGCGGCTGCAGCAGCAGCAGAAGCAGCCAGTATTGGAGACGAAGTCCGGGCGGGGTCCGATGTGGGGGCTGGAATCTGTGGGCGGTGGTGGCGGAAGCTAGGGAATTGGGCTGAGACAGTGGGGACAGGTGAGAAGTCACAGGGCTATGCCTGTTATTTAAGGACTGGGGCGGCGTAGTGGGCGCAGTGGAGACTGGGCTCCTTGGTCAAAGTCAGGAAGCCCGAGAATGAGTGAACATCTCTTGCTTTGGACCTTACTCCTTCAGCTCTCATTTTCATTTCTTAACCAGGGATAGGTGGAGGCCTCCGAGAGCCCTCACTGCACCAGTGTTGCTACTCACTGCTAAGACTAGGTTGCTGGAGGGGGTCTTAATCAAGAGATCTTTTCCATAGGGAAGAGGGAGAGTGATGAATTTAAGAGACTGAAGGAAACAACTGGACACTGGGCCAGTTAGGAAGTTGGAACTTGAAAGAAAAACAGTTGAGGCCTAGTATTCAGAGGTGTGGTTTGACGAAGTATACCTAGATGAGTATGAATTTTAGTATTACAAGGAAAGTGAGGGATTTTTCACCTGTTTCTCTATTCCTGCCCACTCCCACTTTCATCACACTCATTTTTGCACCTGGTCTAGACATGCAGTTACCTTGGAACAGTCACAGCTGTGATACAAGAAGGGCACTAGTAATGCTAAGCACAGAAGGTTCTTGAAATGCCCTTTCTCCTCATTTACAGCAGTACAGATTTTCCTTGGCTTATAATGGAGTTACATTCCAATAAACCCATTGTAAGTTGAAAATATCTAAAGTCGAAAGTGCATTTACTGAACATCATAGCTTAACTTAGCCTGCCTTAAACATGTTCAGAATATTTACATTAGCCTACAGTTGGGCAAAATAATCTGACAAAAAGCCTATTTTATAATTGTGTTGAATATCTTATGTAATCTATTGAATACTATACTGAAAGTGGGAAACAGAATGGTTGTAAGTGTATCAGTTGTTTACCCTTGTGATGGTATGGCTGGGAGCTGCAACTCACTGCCACTACTGGGTATCACAGGAGAAAATCATACCACATGGCCCAGGGAAAGATCAAATTCAAATCACAGTTTCTACTCAAGGCATATCACTTTTGCACCATCATAAAGTTAAAAAAAAAAAAGCATTAAGTGGAACCATTGTAAGTTTGGACCATATGTATAAGGAAACACATGTCTCTTCCCTAAAGCTTGAGCCAAAATTGTCGATTTTTTTAATTTGATTTTTGGGGGCCTTATTTCTTGTCTCCTTCCAAGAAGAACTAGACTGGTAGATAACTCTGTCTACTCCTTGTCCTCATCAATCCCTGGTATACACGTTCACCAACCCCTTCCTCATCCCAGTCTGTTTTTGCTCTTGTTTTAACCTGGAGAATAACACAACCCTAGAATGTGAAGTCAACAGGAACTGAATTTAAGATCATGAAGGATGAATGATAACCTATATGAGAAAAGAATCTAAAAAAGAACAAATATATGTGTATGGATAACTGAATCACTTCACTGTATACCTGAAATTAACACAACCTTAGTTTAGTAAATCAACTATGTGTGCTAAGTCGCTTCAGTCATGTCCAACTCTTTGCAACCCTGTGGAATGTAGCCTGCCAGACTCCTCCGCCCTTGGGATTCTCCAGGCAAGAATACTGGAGTGGGTTGCTGTTCCCTGAGGGGCTTCCCAGCCTAGGGATGGAAACTGGGTCTCCAGAATTGTAGGCAGATTCTTTACCATCTGAGCCACCAGGGATGCCCCTGAAATCAACTATACACCAATAAAACTAAAATATTATTTTAAAAAAAGTTGGTGAAGGATGATCAAAAACAGACTTGTGGTTACCATATGAGAACTGGGGGGGGGGGGGGCAGGGAGGGGAGGGATAAATCAGGAGCTTAAGAGTAAAATACACACACTAAAAATAAATAAATAAAATAAAATATACACACTGCTATATATAAAATAGATCACCAACAAGGACCTACTGCCTACTGTACAGCACAGGGAACTCAAATATTCTGTGATAACCTATATGAGAAAAGAATCTGAAAATGAATGAATATATATATATATGAATAATATACATATGTATAACTAAATGACTTTGCTGAACACTTGAAACTAACACAACATTGTAAACCAACTATACTCCAATAAGATTTTTTTTAAAAAGATGATGAAGGATGAGATGACTAATAAGGAGTATGTTTATAACAAAAAGAATTGTATCCTATCCTTCCTGGGCTGTTGCCATCAAAGGACTTTGGCTCTCCTGAGCTCTGTATTTTAAATGGCAGAAGACTCCTCCAGTGTTTTAATGACTCCTAGAGTGGGTCCCATGATACCTCCATGTGATTTTTCTTTCCACTTATTTTCCTAGATTTTTCAAGGCACACACCACAGGTTATGCCCTCACACTCATCACCAAAATTATGCTTTGCAACTGACCTTGTTAGTGCCTCAACCATACCAAGACGCCTTGTGAGACTCTGACAGGAGGTGACACCTGTCAGTGTTCCTGCCCAAGTTTTCAGACCCTGTCAAGGTTGAGTCCCAGGTATGACAGAAGGAAGGAAATGGTGATAGTGTTGTATGGTTAGCAGCAAGTCCCAAGGTATTTGAGTCAGAACTGATGAATGGAACTAGAGAATCTTCCAGCCCTGCTATCCTTCACCCTCTGGAGTCTGGAGAGGGAAGTGCTATTGCAGCATTACTGGGTGCTCACCATAGAGCAAACAGGGGCACAGACAGGAGGGTTGCTGCTCAGCTAGTAATAAGCCAGCCACTGCCACTCCCCAGCTCCCCAGCCACTTGAAAGGCTAATGCTCTAAGAGGAGAAGAGCTGTATCCAGAGCTGAAGGAGGCCGAGAGGGCTGACTACAGTTGATCAGTCTTTCCCCATCCCTCTGACTGCCGTTGGCGCTAACCAAAGCTGAAATTTTAGCCACCCGCTCCGTCTCCGTCACTGACCCCAGGCCTGGGCCTGAGCCCAGTGCGTGTGCCGGGAGCAGGGGTGGGGAGGGGGGTGTTGGCCTCGCTGACAAAATCCATTTGGAATTTCTCAAGGTTGTGGTTTGGGGCTTCAGTTTGCCACAGAGTGTGTCTGACGAAAGAAGAAAGTTAGAAAGAGAAAAGGAGCCAAGAGAGCACAGAGGAAGGAACTGGAGGAAAACTGAAATATTCCTGCTGTGATTTCATTGGCCAGTCTCTTCCCTCTTTCTGAGTGTGAGAAATTCCCACTCTGGATGCTCCTTATCATTATTTCCCCTCATATCCTATGTCTGTTGTAGCTGCATCCATCTCTCTTCTGCTGTCCCATGCATACATGAAGCTCAGTCAATGCCTAAAGGCCTACCCCCATCAAATTTCCAAACGAAGAATTCTCAGTGTGCAAGTGGAAATTCAGGACATAAAGTTTTGCTATAACGTACCACCCTAAACCAACACCCCTTGCTGTCCTTCCTACCTTGATCCTACCTGATTTTGAGGGTAATTGGGGGCAGATATAGCTATTGCCTAGAGGTGTGAAAAGGACTATTTCGACATCTTCTGGCCAAGGAGATGACCTGACAGAGTCAGCATCTTGCAACCCCATAAATAATCAGTTATTGGTAAAGTTCTAAATTTGTGCTGTAGCTTTTCTAAATTGAAAGATGATTGTTTATTTTCAATAATACTTGACTAGGAATAGAAAGAAAGTGGATTTGAAATAAAAGAAGTTCTGTTTTCTCTAGTTATGGTTATCTCTTAAAAGATAAAGGAGCTGTTTTGCTGAGATTAAATGCAGAAGAGCTCTGAATAAGGAAAGACAAACTACATATGCAAATAATTCAGTGGGATAGCATGCTGATTTTGCTGGTTTCCAGAGCAAAAAAACTCCAATTTTGAGTGCAAGAGTCCTTTATATATGTTTCCCGTTAGTCTTGTATCTATCATCAAGTTCTCCAATTTGGAACCACAGAGAAAAGCACCTGCCATTTTTGAGTCCAGGCTCAATGGTGAGACATCTTCAGGACCTGAAAATCCCAGAACAGAGGTGACCTCGCTGTGTAGAGTAGGTGTCAAAACAAACCACAGTCAAAGAACCAAATCTGGCCCCGCAGTCCATTTTTGTGAATAAAGTTTTATTGGACATAGGCATGCCCATGAGTTGAGAAAAAAAAAAAAAAATCCAAGCCCTGTTATAGGGCAGTGGCCAAGGCAAAATCTGGAGGTGGGGCACAGAGAACCTGAATAAGGCCTATGTTTACATCTTGAGTCCCTCACACCTAGAAGTCTCCCTGCCCCGCCCAGCTTTTTCCACACTAAAACTTGTCAACTGAGTCACCTGAAGACCATTTCAAATCCTTTGTGGAACCAGGCATGATATACATAAAGTCAATGAGTATGGGAGGGTAAGAGAATTCACCTGGAAATGAAGCCAGGCCTGGGATCCCAAGTGTGGCTAGAAATATAACCATCTGTATTCACCAGTCCAGGAACTTAATTTATTTTTATTACAAACAAGAACCAAGAGCAAGTCTCAGTACAATAAATTATCCATTCCCACCCCTCCTGCTTAAGAAAGAAAAAGAGGCTCAGAGAGTCTTGGGTAAAATTCCTCCTTTGGAGGGTTCCCTTCAACATCTGAATGGGGCAGACAGCTTCCCTAAGGGCCTTGACAGACAACTTTCAGGGTTTTTGAGTGCCCTGCACCCTGTCCCTTCCCTAAGAAAAACTTCTCTACCACTGGCTCCTATGACTCCCTAAGACGGGGTGCAGGCCGCAGCAGAGGAGTTTAGGAACAGCAAATAGGAGTGAGAGGTCTCTTTCTGGATACAGGTTGTATGGCTCCACACAATGCTGGGGCTATCCCTCAGAAGAAAAGAGTGGGCAAATTATAGGGACTCCCCAGCCAAAAGGAATATGAATATGAGAGTTAAAGGGACCCCAGGTTGGGTGGCTGGGAGAGCAACACAGTTCATCTTATTCCATTCAGATGTTCAAGGAGCAGAAGAGGGTGACAGCTCCCCCACAAGGCCCTCCTACTGTGGGGGAGGAAGCCACACATCACAGACTCCACCTGCCCCAAAGCTGTTTCCAGGTAGACACTCTGAGCTGCCAGGGGCCAAGATTGACCCTGGACAGAAATCAGAGCAAAAGGCTACAAAGGCGCCCCTCCCCTGCCCCAGCCCCGCAGTGAGGCTGACCCTCACTTACACACATTGACCCACTCTGTGACCTTGCACTCGTCACACAGCACGTAGCAGCACCAGTGGAAGCGGCAATGACAGCGCTCGACTCGGGTCTGCCGGAGCACGTTGTGCCCACGGCCGCAGCACAGGCTGCCACAGCCATCCAGCAGGCGGCTGGTCTTGTTGCAGGCCCGGCCCCGCGTGCCTGGGGAGCCCACAGTGGGGTCTCTCTCGCAGAAGTCAGGAGACTTCTCGAAGTAGACCAGCTCTCCTGAGAGGCGCCGGGGCCGAAGGCGGGGCTGGAAGGCTCCGGAGTTGCGGTTGTGAGTATCAATGAAGATGGCCCGGCCCAGCCGCTCCCTCAAGGCTGCCCCCACTGCCCGGAACTCTGGGGCTGCCCTCCAGCATGTCTTGAATTGGCAGCTGCCGGAAGTGCCGTGGCACTTGCATTTCCGCTTCAGGTTTTCAGTTACCACCTAGAGCATCAGCGAGGAAGAAATGAGACGGGAGGGCAGCAAATGGACAGAGCACAGAGGCACAGGAGAGGGGAGGGAATAGAGAGCATACAGAAACAAACAGAGGGAAGAATGGCAATAAAATATTAGAAGAGAAAGGGCACCATGAGACTGGCTAATAGCCCAACTCCCCGTTTTATGTTGGAGAACTGAAGCCAGAGCAGAGAGCAAATTGCCCATCTTCAACAAACAGCTGGTTATGGAGATTTGGCTAGTAGCTAGCCAGCAACAGGACTCAGCTCCAGTTGTCCTGACTCCCAATCCAGTGCTCTTTCCAGAGTGAACCTGGTAAACCAGGGAGTCTAGCCCAGAGAACCCCTAAATTCTAGGGAAGGCAGCTATACTAATTATATATATACATATATATGTGTGTGTGTATATATATATATATATATATATATATATATATATATATATAATGAGCACCAAGGACTAGAAACTATTCTGGGTGCTCTGTTTGCTAGCTCACTCTTAATGACATCGTAAGGTAGTATCATTAGACCTTTTTACAGGTGCAAAACGGAGATTGAGTGACTTGCTTGGTTCCAGGCCACCCCACAGGTAACAATCACCCCCTACATCTCATCTTATGCTGCTGTGCCCTCTCAAATCTAGCCAGGCCTTAAAAGGCAGGAAGACCCAGGACAAGTTGTACACACATACCTGACGCCCCACCCTGTTGTTGTGGATCCGCATTCGTGCCTGGATGTCCCGGGGAGCTTCCCTGGAATCCAAAAAATCCCGAGAGAACTTCTCCCCGAAGTCCATGTCATGGTTACAGCCGCCCCATTCCCACGTGTCCTGGGGGCCAGGGCTGGGACCAGAGCCAGGGCCCGAGCTGGGCAGGGAGTGGGGAAAGCTCTTGCCCCGTGATAGTGCCTGCAGCTGCAGCAGTTTCGCCCTCAGTCGATCCTGCTCACCACTGCCCTTCCAGCCACAGCCGCAGCTCACCAGCTTGCCCAGGCTGCAGGCGGTGGCTACTGCATGCATGACCCCAGCAGCCAGCATGGAGAAGGAAAAAGCGCTCTCTCGGAAACCTAGGGATGAAAGGGGTGTGGATAGGGGTAAGTCTGACAGGCTGCTGAGAGTAAGGAGGCCCAAGGAAACAGCCAAACTGCAATTCCAGAATTTCCTAACTGAGTTCAGATCCTGCCATTTACCAGTTGAGTAGTTTGGGAGCAAGTCACAGGAGAAGGAAGGGAACCTAAAAGCATAGAGTCTCAGTTTCCTCATCTATAAAGGGAGAAGATGAATTGAGATGATCCCTGAGGCCCATTCTTGCTCTGTTTAAGTCTGGGATTTTCAGGTGTGGATGAAAGAGCTAGGCTACTGGGAAAGACCCCTGGAGATGAGAGATGACTAAGAAAGAGTCCTTGAGGTCTTTGAAGATATGTTCACTTAGTTCTATATCTGAAAGTCTTAGAAATTCCCCAGCCCTGCAGGTGGGATGGAAGCAGAGGCCTTTGGTTTTACGTTGTTGTTGTTTTAATCAAGGTTATTTAAATCAGTCTTTTAACCAACTTATCCTCCACCAGCCCAAAATCCCCAAAGTGTTGGAGCTGTGGAGCTGTCCTTCCTCTTTCCAGTTTCTAGTTTTATATTTGCCTGTTAAGATTGCCCTTTATATTTATCCTAACCTGCTATTACTCTATAAATTGCTGGGAGAGGGAGAGAGGTGGGGGTGATTCTCCCTAAGGCCCTCTTAAAATGTTGACTTCTTTGTTATGTTTTGGGGGTCACAGAGGCTCAGGATGACAAGCCTTCCCCAGGCTTAGATAGACATGCTTCTCATTGGGCCATCTAAGCCTTCCCCTACACCAGGCCCTGTAGAAAAGCAGCCTCCCTCTCTGGAGCCCTGAGTGGATGGGAGCACCTCCTTAGGGGCCAGGCCTCTCCCATCCCAGGATGCAGGGCTCCTGGCCCAGCCTCCTGATCCCCCAACCTCAAGCCTCCAGGGGTGAAGCTGTTTGCACAAGTCTTGGGAATTCCCCCGCAGATGGCAGCTGCCTATTAACCCCATAGTCCCCAAAGTATTGCCCCCACCCTTGGGCTGAGCCAGAGATGGATATTTACTCCTTTAGGGAGTAAACTGGGGCATGGCCTAGCAAGAGACAGTGATGCCCTTCCAGACCAGGGCCCCCAGGCTGGGCCCCGCAGTGACCTGTTCTCCACACCTCCAGCACTTCCTCACCTGCTCAGGTGAGAGCCACCTGGGGCCCCCACAGCACCGAGGAGGGGGATGCTCCCGGGCTTCAAAGCCATCGGGGTCTTTGTTCCCAGCTTCTGCTCCTGGGAACCCCAGTAATTAGGGGAGTAGGTTTAACCCTTAAACGGTTGGGGGCGTCACCCCACCCCCGCTGAGGCTATGGGGACACCAGCCTGGGCTTGTCCCATGCAGAGAGGAGGGGCAGAAAATTGGGGGACGGGGAGGAGGGGGGCATTTAAAGCTTCTAGGGCTGGGGGCATCTCTTGCTCACAGGTGCAGCCGAGATCAGCTGGGCGGAGGCAGGAAAGGCGGGCCCTGGGGTAAGGGAGCGGGAACCCAGCTGCCTTGCCGGCAGCGCACAGGTGGAAGTCTGAAGCGCGGGGCCCCAGACGGGTGGCCAGACCCTACTCCGTGCAGCTCCGGGGGGGAATTCCCAGAGAGGCCCCTCCCGGAGTGGTGAACTAGTCCCTTCCCGCCTCCGCTCGCGTCGGCGTAGCCCCCCCGCCCCCCAGCCCCGGCGGCGGCGCAGACTCGCCCGGTCAGCTCACCGCGCTTGAGGATGGCGCTGTGGTGCGGCAGGCGGCCGCCGCCCTCGAGCGCCGAGCAGTTCCAGCGCTGGTCGCGCAGCTGGTGCTGACACTCGTGGACCGCGATGTGCAGGCCCTGGAGCGCCGACGCCGTCACGTCGGGGCTGCGCAGGCACAGGCCCAGTTGCCGCTTGCTCAGGCCCGACAGCGTCAAGCAGACGGTGTTGGCGGTCAGCGGCGGCTCGCCGCCGCCCGGCAGCTTCAAGCCCAGAATCTCATTGCCGAGGACCCTGGGAACCGAGAAGGCGTCTCAGGGTCTGCAGTCCAGGCCTTCGTGCTCCCTCCGACGCCTCCCGACCCGCCTCTAGCCCAGGGCTTTCTCTCGAAGGCTGGGTGACAGGGGGACCTCTCACCGACTGCACAACGCCAGGAACAGGAGACCGGCGAGGCCCGAGGGCGGAGGCCGCGGCCGGGGCTCCTCCCGCATGTCTAATCCCGGGCCCTAAGGCCCCGATGCGCAGATCGAGCAGGGCCTGCAGGACAAGGACACTTAGGGAGGACTCTAGAATAGGGTGGCTCAGCTGGGCAACCAAAGGATGCCCAACTGCGGCTCCTAACACACCAGGGCCACCCCACTGACCCTTCTCATCCAGCTCAAACAAACCAGTAAGATCACGCCCTTGATTCCCAGAGTACCTGGGCCCTGGAAGAAGAGTGTGGGCCTAGAAACTGGGACTTAAGCCAGCATCCTGGAGCTCACCCAGCCAGACACAGTGCCCGGCACACAGACACACTCACAGCAAACAGCTGTGTAGTCTCACAAACAGCTCTCCACTATCCTGTCCACCGCTCCCTTTTCAAGGGCCCCAAGACTGGCTTCCCAGGCCCAACACAGCTTCACCGGCTCTTGCTCAGGAAGCCTGCGGGCCAGGATTGAGAGGGGGTTCCCCGCCACTCACCAGCAGGGTGGGGGTGGGGGAGTGTAGTCGCCAAGTGCCATCTAGCAGTTTCCCTGAAAAGGGTGGAGGAATGGGCTCCCCATCCCACTGTGCCCTCTGCAGCCCCAGTAGGGAGCCAGGGGAGGCTCCAGGTGCCACAAGTCTGGGAGGGGACCTTGCTTCCCTCTTGAAATGGACCGTGGTGCAGGCTGAGTCCTTTTCTTCGACCGCTACCTTTCCTAACTACATGTTCCTCTCCTCCTGGCACTGCTCATCTGGTCCCCACCAGGTCCTCGGTCTCAGACCCCACCCCTCTGCTCTTCACTCACTGCCCTCCAAATCTGGGGCCACTCCTTTATTTGCTAGGTCTTTATCTCTGGCAATATCCCGGGCTTTCTCTGCATCTCTGTGCCCCCGTGGGTGGATGCGTGTCTGTCTGACTAACAGAGTGCTTGTCGCGTCCCCCAGTGCGAGTCCCTGCCCTCCCTGCTTTCCCAATTCCGATTACCTCCAGCTGCTCTGGGGCCGAGTCTGCCACCGGCGTGGTCGGGTCGCCTGGGCTCGGGCTGTTCAAACTGTGGGGAGAGTGCGTCGGGTTCTGGCCCCTCGGCAGAGCCGCATTCTTCCAGGGCAGGGCCACTCCTCTCCGCCGCTTCCCCAGCGCCGCCGCGGCCGCCGGGAGGAAGGGAGGGAGGAAGGGAGGGAGTGATCGAGAAAGCTAGCGAGCGGGCGAGCACAGAACTGGGGGCTCTGGCTCTCCTCGCGCCGAGCTCACCGGCGGCTCTGCCGCGGCTGACAGAGCTGCGGCCCCTCCCCGAGCCCGGGGCATCCCCACCCCACTCCTCACACCCCCCGCCTTGACCCGGGGAGCCCAGCCGCTCCCCCTCCTCCCAGCGTACTCACACACCCTCTCCCCCGACGCCTGGGTTTCAGGCTTGGCCCCACCGAAGGGGGAGGTGGCCAGAGTTCCACTCACCTGCTCTGGGACCGCCAAGGCTGCAAGGAGGGTGTGGTGACCCAGACTAGAGAACCAAGTCCCTGGTCCCCAGTGGTCATGTCTCTATGCCTCAGTTTCCCCCACCGATAGCTGAGTGACTGGAAGGTGCCTTTGACCAGATGAAGACGGAACTCAGATCGAACTTGCCTGGCTGGACGGTCTTGGTCTCTGCGCGAGAGCCTGGGGAGAGCGTACTGCAGGGCAATCTGAGCTGGCGGGAGTAACTCCCTTCTGGGTGGCTTGGCTTCCGCCCACCTCGGAGCCCTACGCCTGCCCCTTGGGAGGGGTCAGCTCTGGCCTCAGTTTGGCTCTGGCAGAGTCTCCGGGAGCTCCCGAGATCTTCAGCCTGCCCCAGTGCTTCCTTGGGCTCACAGGCATCCTTGCCCCTGCCCTTCCTAAGACCCCAAGTCTGCACTCCGCGGTGGCCCATATTCCTGCTCCAGACTCGCAGACTTGCTTCATGTGGAAAGAGGAGGGATCCCAAACTGAGCCCAGCCTGAGGATGACCAGGCAAAGAGTCTGATCGTGGGTTGCACAGACGGAGGCAAACCACCCTAGGGAGCTCCAGTGGCAGCGAAGGGGTTAGGCGCCACTGCGCTCCTGCCTGACTCACCCTCCCAGCTCTAACCACTGTGGGCTATTTTTGCCAGAGAGGGGCCCCAGGCTTCCCAGCCGCCCCCCGCCCCTGCCAGACCGCAGCCCAAGGCACGGCTGGCCCCGAGAGCCCGAGGCTGGCACGTTGACTCAGAGACAGGCCCCCCGGGGAAGCAGAGCCACAGGGTTGAAACCCACAGCCACAGTCATCTCTTCCTTGGTAGTGGCCATGCAGCTTTCCTGGGCAGCCAGCCGCTAGTCTTTGTGGCTGCAGGTCTTGCCCTGGGCTGCAGGGGGCACTGCTGTCTAGGGGGCAAAGCCATCTGAGAGAGATTAATGACTTTCATCTGCCAGGATATTTATTAATCACCTTTATATGCCAGGCCTCAGGCAGGCTGGGGAGGTGAAAGTACCCTAGTTCCTGACCCTGGACAGCTGCAATCAAAGAGGGCTGCTTTTTTCTGCTTTCCCACCTCTGGGTGGAGAGGGGAGTAGAGGAGAAGAAGCCCTACAAGAGAAGGGGCTCTTATCCCTCCTTCCAGTTTAGGGGCCAAGAACCAAACCGTGTGTGGCTTTTGAGACCACTAGAATATGCACCCTATCTTAGTAGCTTTTGGATCCTGTCCTTGTCCTTCCTGCATGTCAGCCTGGAACTTTACCTAGGTCCCTGGAGGAGGGGGACAAGGTTTCCCATGCTCTTCCCCCATGGGAACCTCTTGGACACTTGCAGTTTTCCACGTGACTCCAAGTCTCCCTCAGGTTTCAGACTGCTCCTTCTGATTTTACCCTTGTCGGGCTGTGGTGTAGTCAGGTGGCAAGGAAGGGCCAGGGTCACAGCTACTACCACAGATTCCAACATCTTAATGACCCCCGGGCTCCCCAGGATGGCCTGTCCCAAATCCAAAGACCCATACTCCTGTTTCCTTTCCCAGCAGAAGCCCAGCTCTGGGACAGGAGGCCACAGGCAGGCAGACTGGGTGGCCTGAGCTGGCCCCCGTGCCCTCGGCCCGACCGGCTGGCCTGAGCACTGACCCGCAGGCGGCTGGAGGGTGGTGGGGCAGGCGGGGCCTGGAGAGGGCTGTGGGTACACACCCATTGCCTAATACCCCAAGCACGCGGCCAGCTCCAGGAAAGGAGAGGGGCGGGAACCAGAGAGACCTTGACAAGGGTTGGGGCCATGACAGCAGGGGGAAAGTGAGGGGCTGTCATTACTTCAGGGAGGGAGTGGGAGCAAGAGGGTCCCCCTTCCCCTGCGAGGAAGAGTAGGGGGCTGACTTCCCATCATAGGGGTGGACGTATCAAGAGCAATCTGAGAACACTGGGGCTCTATAGGGCGGGGGTCAAAGAAAAGAGTGGGGGTCCCTGGAGATTGGGGGATCCAGCAACTGAGGCGGTGGCTAAAGCTGAGTGCAGCCTCGAAAGCCTCCTCCTCCTCCTCCCCCCGTGTTTGCCTTGGCCCGGGGTCCCGGGTGACTCATCTATTGCTGAGCCGCTGATAGGGGCGGCCAGGCCCAGGGAACCCAAATTATAGGCCCTGGAGGGATGGATGCGCCCGCGGCGGCGGTGAGCTCAGCCCTGCTGCCCACCCTCCGCCTCTCACGCTTTCTGCTGCAGCACCACAGGCCACCACCCGGCGGCACCAGAGCGTGCGCAGCTGACTCCACTGGACTCCAGAGAAACCCCCAACATTCAGCAGTTGCCCCCAACGTATCAGTAAAGTTACCCACGACAGAACTTTGCCCCCTTCTCCACCAGAGGCTGATGCTTTCCCAGCCCAAAGAGGGAGTGACACCTGCTGGTGCTTCAAAAGAAGGTAGGCTCCTCTGCCCACAGCTCTCAGCCCTGGTCCCCTGCTTCCTCTCCAGACCCCCATCTAGGTAAAGCCTCTCTCCCCTCTGATATCTCTCTCTCCAAATCCTATTTTAAGAGGGTGGTTTACTACTGACTTTCCACTTTAAGCCTTTAAAGGTATCCATGGTCAAAAGTGATGCAAAAAATAAATAAAGCAGGGTAAAGGAGATAGGTGGTGGCATTCCATTTTATAAAGGGGAGGAGTGAAAGGGATGTGGAGGAACAAACACATGGAGATATCAGGGAAGGGCATTCCAGAAGACAGAAAAGCAAGTGCAAAGATCTTGAAACAGATACTTTCTTGGTATGTTCAAGGAATTAGCAAGGAGGCCAGTGTGGCTGGAGGGAGGAACCTACAGGGGTTTTGAAGACAGAAAGGCAGGAGTTTTGTTTTTTGTTTTTTTGACTGATTTGACATAGACTATAAGAAAACAGACAAGTCAAGGATGGCTCTAGGATTCTCGTCCTGTGCACCTGAAAGGATGGAGTTACCATTCACTGGGATGGGGATGACTGAATAAAGAGCAGGTGCAAGTGAATAATTGGGAGTTTAGTTTGGGATATTGTACATTTTGAGATGTTTATTCAAGTGTTAGATGTGCAAGTTCAGAGTTCAGGGCCAGAGATAAAAGTTGGGAGTATGAGACTGTATAGTTCACCAAAGGAGTGAGTGTAGACTGAGAAGAAGTTGCAGATTGAAATGGGGTGCAGTCCAATGAGTCATGTAGAAATTGGGTACAAAGGTGGAACCAGATAAAGAGACTGAGAAGGTGAGCAGTCAGGGAGGTAGGAATGGTGTTCCAGAAATCAAGTGAGACTATTTCAAGGAGGAAGTGTTCAACTTTGTCTGCTATTCCTAAAAAGTTTGTTAGGATGAGAACTGAGATTTGACAGTAGAGTGAAATGGAGGTCATGGATGATTTTGAGGACGAAATGCAGCGGGTTCAAAGGTGTGATTAAGGTGGTGGAAAGAGAGCATAAAGAAAAGAAACTGGCACCGGTGATTAAAGCAACACTTTGAGTTCTGCAGTAAAAGACCACACAGAAATGGGGCACACTTAGGTGGTAATGTGAAGTCAAATAAAGTTTTGGGGTTTTTTTAGATGGGAGACATTACAGCATATTTGTAGGCTGATAGGTATGATCCAGTAGAGAGGTAAACTGATGACACAGGAAAGGAAGAGAAGACAACTGATAGAGTGATGATTTGATCTAAATAAATTTGGGCCAGGTCCTACAAAATTTGACCAGACCTCGAGCCCTCCCACTCTTCCCCACTATCCCTGGTGGGTGGAATAGTGGAACAAAGGATATGGAATCCTTTTTTCCTCCCTTCCCACTTGTGCTTGTCACCAGTGGCCACAGACAGGACTGCCCTGTCTTCAAGCCCAGCTCCCTCCTCCATGGGGTTTTATCAACCCACTAAACCAAAAGATGTGACCCAGGCCCCAGTGGGAAGAAACTCCTCAGGGACAAAGGGCAAGCTGCCCAAGGTACACTGTCTACTTACTTGAGCCATCTATGCTGGGTGGCCTCCGCAGGGACTGCTGGCTTTTAGATCTGTGGAAGATGCTAAGCCAGTACACCTTGTCCTCAGCGTCAAATCCTTGGAGGGGCAAAGGGCCTGGGAAAGATATTCCCCTAAAAAATAACCTCCATCAGGTTTCATTTGGGCTAATATGCATCCTTTTAAAATGCAAGAGCCCCAGGAAGATTCATTAAACTTATCAGGCATTCATTCTTTAGTGATTTGCCTGCACTGGAGGGGAGGCCTGATCATTTCTGAGACTTGGAACTCTTTTGGACCAGGCCTGGTACATTACTCAGTCAAAAAAACATCCTAAAGTGAGAGACGATGAAAAAAAAGATCAAAATGGAGGCAGGAAGATCCTAAAGACCATTTTTGTTTATCTCCCAGTTTGGGGAAGGGCCCCCAGCCTGCACAATCATAAGCAGCCATTAAGGTGGTAAAAGCATGGGGTTTGAGTCTGAACAGTCTGGGTTTTAACCTGCCTCTACCGTTCATCCCTTTATTAGCTGTGGGGCCCGTGGAAAACTGCCTAATCGAGTTTTTCCTCTGTAAAATGGAGAGAGAGAGGAGAGATGTAAAGGAGGAGATCCTTCTCTTCCAGGGGCAACCTGCATGTGTTGGCGGGGCCTGATAACCAGGCTGGCAGTGCCCTCTATATCCCACATGGGGAACAGCAGCCACTCATTCCCTAGGAGGCAAGGGGCCCTGAAGCTGAGAGGATGTAGGGAGGCGCGCGTTAGGGTCAGGGTTAGGTATCCCAGCGTGGTGAGAGTGAAGAGAGCCAGAGTTCTAGGTGGAGAAGACAGAAACTTGGTAGAAAATTCCAGAAAGGAGCAGAAACGTGGACGCACAGGTTCTCTGCTCTGGGGTCAGTTTAGTCAGCAGCCCTTCTGCTCCCAGTCCCTCCACACACACACACCCCTGACATCGAGTCTACTGCCTTTCTTTTCTGAGCCTAGTCTCAGAGTCACCGCTGCTCCAGGCCTCATCCGTTATGATACCACCTTGGTTACAGGTTTTGTCCGCCTCCCCCAGCGACAGACACAGGTTGACACATGCCAGGGGGTGACACACTATAGGATGACCCAAGGAACACAGGGTCAGAGTGACACACAGATGCATATTTCATCTCCTACTCATCCACCCACCTCCACACACAGTTCCAGACACTGCTCCTCCGTCAACCTTCTGGGTCTCTCCTGGCCACCCCCTTCCCGACACATAGGAGA